TGATAACTTGATTCTAGTTATCACCCAAGGTAAATAATATGTGATTATTTGATTAAATGATTACATGATAGAATGATAAATTGTTACGTTTGATCATGCTGAGATATGAAAATGTGCATAATATGAAATGCATATGTTATGTATTTACATGTATGCATGGTATATATATATATATATATATATATTTATATATATGAACAAGGTGTATGCATGCATGCATGTGAGTTTTGTGAGCAAAGGGGCTGGGTTAGCCGTCTTTCTAGTTTTGGAAAAGTATAAAAGGAAGGTTGAGCCTCCATATTTTCTCTTCTTGCTTTTAAGCTCTTGTTGTGCGATTTAAAAAGAGGAGAAGTTGACCGGATATCTTATCTGGAGATTCAAGATTTGATTTCAAAAGCTTGTTAAGGTGAGTAATTTCTAACTATTTTACATAAAATTATTACTGGTTTGTATGAATCTTGTTTATTTATGGAAAGAAATCAGTCTTTTGTTCTAAGTGTTTTATCCGGGTAGTAAACCGGACAAGGCTTGTCCGGATTACTTTAAATCGGACAAARGATGGACGAAGTATTGTCCGGACTATTTTAAATCGGACAAAGGTTAATCGATGTATTTTCCGGATTGTCTTAAATCGGTTAAGTGTTGATCGGATTATGATTGGTAAGAATGATTATCTTTTTACACTAAGAAGTAGGAATACGACCAAATGGTGGCCGGATTATTTTAAATCGGCTAAGTGTTATGCGGGGTATTAACCAGACTTGTTATCCGGATAAAGATGATTTTGATTTTAAATGATAAATCAACCAAGCTTTATGCGGGCTATTGACCGGACTTGTTATCCAGATAAAGTTATTGAGAATTATTTTCCAAGTATAAATCGGACAAAGTTCATTATGTGTGTTGTCCGGATAGTTGACCAGATTTGAAGTCCGGCTAAGTTAAGATTGACCGAATTTGAAGACCGGCTAAGTGAAGATTGACCGGATTTGAAGTCCGGCTAAGTCAAGATTGACCGGATTTGAAGTCCGGCTAAGTCAAGATTGACCGAATTTGTTGTAATATTGTGTTTTCAATGATAAATGATATTTTATCAAAAAAAGGAAGTTTTGAAAGAAATGATTTTGTATTGATAATAATTTCAATGGCTGCGATTTATTTGAAATTATTCTGTGAAAATATTTTGATGAGGAAATAAGGGTGGCATATCAAGGAAAGGTGTACCATGGGATAAGGGTGACATACCAAGGAAAGGTGTACCATGGGATAAGGGTGGCATATCAAGGAGAGGTGTACCATGGGATAAGGGTGGCATATCAAGGAGATGTGTACCTTTGGATATAAGGGTGGCATTTGCATGTGTGTTGTATGTTATAACTCATTCTATTATATCCTTTAAGACTACCGTGGTACGGAGTCTTTATTTCTTTGTGACTTAAAGATTTAGGATCAAGGTTCTTATTGGAAATCATAGTTTGGATGTTATTGAGGAGAAAATGTCAGGTTTGGCCTGAAGCTTTAAATAACCTTGTTGGTTAAGAAAAGGTTTAAAAGTGGCATTATGTGGAACCTGATTAGTTCAGAGTTTTGAGATTTGAATAAGCAGAATGCTTTGCTTGATAAATGAAAAAGATCTGGTATTACGTTTCTATTTATTCATATATTTGTTATATATATGAAATGATATTTTTCCCTAAAGGTTTTGGTGATTTTTCACCCTGCAATAATATAAATAGGGTATCTCACTAGACCTTTCGGTCTAACCCTCGTTTTGTGATTTAAATTATGTGTTGCAGGAGGTTCGAACAGTAAGGGGAAGGGAAAAGTTTAATATGTTYYTTTATGCGCTTCTGCTTGAAGATCTGTTTTGATTGATTAGTACAAGAAATGTATTTTGAGTTTTTGGACCTTGTATCTGGGCATGTTAGATTCTTGTACTAAGGGACCTGAATGAAATGATATCATTTATTTCTTTTGTATGAAATATGTGTTACATGCAATATGTGGGTTGGGGCGTTTCAGAATTCATGGGTGAAACCTTGAAATTTTTTGTTGAATGATCTCCCTCCTCAATAGAATAATATAATAAGATAACTAAAAATTAACTTATTAATACAAAATTTTATATAAAATTTTACAAGAAACGAAAAATAAAAAAGTTATTTTGTAGTAATTGTTTTTTGTATACTTCAACTTATATGTTTTTATAGATTTATTTAAAAAAATAAGATGGTTAAAAAATAATATATAAAAAAATAATAGAAAAGAGATGTATACAAGAATTTTGGTTCTTATTTAAGCACATGAAATCTAATACATATGACTAGACAAGAACCTATGTCCTTTAACGGAGGTTCTTGTGAAAACCTCAAGAGAAACCTCAACATGAACATCCATTGAATGTTTTAATAAGACTTTATATGACAAAAAATTATAACAATGTATCTAAAATTGTTACAATAAATTTATATTACATTTTTCAGTGTCGTACCAAGTGTTTTAGATTTTCTTTTTGAAAAATGCCATATAAATTAATCTTTTTATAAGGCCATGTATTTTCAAATAGTCTTTTTATAAATAAAATGTCCTAAAAAACTTTTATGACATCTAAAAATGTTCTATAAACTTAATGTAACATGTTTTGGTATGACGTTTTATTTTTTGGTTCTATAAGACACTCTATTAGGACACTTAAAACAATATAGACATCTTATAAACTCCATTTTATTGTAGTATAACCATAAAAAGTGGCTAAACCAAAACAGTTAACAATTTGAATTTAAACCTAAACATTTAATAATACTAACTACTAGAAAATAAGGTATCAAAATCAGCGACGAAAAAAACCCTCGCTGATCAGCGAGGGAAAAGCCAAAAACCAATTCCTTCACTGATCTTTCGTTGATCCGCGAGAGATCACCAAGGGAATGGCAAAAAAACAAGTTACCTCGCTGATCAGCGATGGATCAGCGAGGGAAAGAGCAAAAACCAGTTCCCTCACTGATGTCTCGTTGATCAACGAGGGAAAGGCCAAAAACCATTTTTCTCGCTGATCAGAGAAGAAATTGGCCAAAAGCAATATCTCTCGCTGAGCAGTGAGGAATCAGCGATGGAAAGACCAAAAACCATTTCCATCATTGGCCGAAAATAATTTCCCTCGCTGATTAGAAAGGTCATAAATCAATTCTCTCGCTAGTTTTTTTATAAATAACAACAAATTTAATTAATTATTAATTATTAAATTATCAATTATTTATTAGAATATTACAAAAATTAATTAATAAAACCGAATAAAGACCATTTGGTCCAATGATAACAAATAAAGCCCATTAGACCCAATAAAACCAAATAAAATCCAAGAAAATAGATTAAGACTCAATAAAATCGAATAAAGTCCATCAAGGCCCTTTAAACCGAACAAAAGTCCAATAAAACCGAATAAAGTCCAATAAAATAGATTAAAGTCCAATAAAACCGAACAAATCTTAATAAAACCGAATAAAGTTCAATAAAATGGATTAAGGCCCAATAAAACTCATTAAGGCCCAATAAACTCAATAAAGCACGATAAATGAATTAAGGTCCAATAAAACCGAAGAAAACCCAATAAAATGGGTTAAGGCACAATAAAACCTAATAAAGCTCAAATAACAACACATACAATCTATACATTCATATATACACATACGCTTAAACATATATACATCATCCGATATATGTATCTTAAACAATATATATACATCGATCCAAAATTGGTTAACAACCAGCACACATCGTGTATACATATGTATATAACATGGACCGACGAGTATATATACATATAACACATACAACATCGTGTAAACATATGTATATAACACGGAACAATGGGTATATATACATATAACACATACAACATCGTGTAAACATATGTATATAGCACGGGCCGACGGGTATATATACATACAACACATGCACATGTGTACATATAATACACATAGC